TAAAGAGCACCATCAGTCGCCTGGTGGACCACCCGGCGTACGCTCCCAAATCTACCACGCTGTTGGCATCCACCACTGCGTAGGTTTTGCAGTGTATACCCGGTGTAGGGTGGTTCTCAAGACTACATTGCATTTCCCGGCAAAGGTGGACTTTACTCTCTCCTTCCAAAACCTGCCTCAGATTTCGATGGGAAACACCTCGAACTTCTCTCAGCCGGACCCAAAGCCCATTCCGATCAACGCGTGCCCAGTGGTCGCAATCGGGTTTGACCCTCGCTGCCTGGCCATTGAGCAGAAGCACCACATCGTTGGGCTTTCTCTCAGTCTCTCAGTCCCTCGACCCTTGACTCCTTTTTGTAGGAAGTCATTATCAACACTTTCCCTGGAGCCGGGGCCTCGGATGGCTAAGGATTCGTAAGTGTGGGTTGCCTGCAACTCAGGCAGAAGATCACTTACCTCCCGTGCAACAGCTTGAGTATGACGGGTGCAGCAATCAAAGAGTAGCCGGATCGGCCGGAAGACCCAAGTCAACGCATAGATTACCCCAATGGTCAAAACTGTAATCAGCGCTAGTAGGGTTCCCCAGGCAATCCATGGCCAAAATTCTCCGCAGGTAGCGAGTCCAAATCGATCAAGAAAGTAAAGCCCCCAGCCCCCGGAGGAGCTAAGACTTCCCTTCTGTTGTGGGGTGCTAAGCCATGCTGGTCCCATCCAGGACCTGATGTCAAAATGGAAAACTGAGTGACCCCACACATGAGCGAAAGTGCTCGCATCTCCTGCGTGAGGAGCGGAACGCTCACCTTCCTCAGGGGCCATCCTGGGAGGGGCGGTCTCGCCCACGGTTGCGTCTGGGAAAATCTCCTCCACCTCATCCGAGGAGTTGGAAGAAAACCACCAGACCCAATCAGCCGGGGGGCCTTGAACAAGCTCCAGGGTCAATGCGAGGCCCAGCACCGATAGCCATGGCCCACCTAACATTGTGACACCTGTCCTATTCAAAGCAGTCCCTAGGCTGCAATCACTTGAGCCAGTGAAAGCAGCAACCCAAGCTAACCCTACGTTCTGGCGAACACACGATATTTACACAGAGAGAGAGAGAGATGTGTGTGTGTGTGCGCGTGTAAATTGGAATCACGGGAAATGCACTGTCAAAAGCGCGCAACATGCCTGCGATGCCAGCTCCAACGATGACACAGTCCACTTGGTTAGGAATCGATCCCTCCAGTGGCCCGATGTCAGGAAAAACCTCTTCATTCCACCTGCAGAAGTCTTGGCATGTCCTCAGTAACCGGCCAGTCTCTTTCGCACATGCCACACTTCCGCTTCAGAATGACCTTGCAATCAAGACGCTTGGAGATCATACTAAGTAGCATGGGTTCAGGTTTCGTTGAGGGCCCAAAGCCCTCCAAATACCAATCATGCTCCTTGGTTGATGAAGCGTGGAGTATAGAAAATGTTTCACCAAACTGTTCTGCGCATGCAGGAGTTTGCTGACACAGTGACTGACCAATTGAACCTATGTGCAGGCAGGCAGCCAGGTCCAAAGTTCCACTCAAATCCTCAATTCTGAAGTCTTGCCCGTACTCCGCCCATGCCTCGCGAGCCACATCAGGGGCTATTGGGCAATGAAGCTCTGGCCTGGTCTGGCCTTCATGGCCGTGGGATCAGCTAGGGCCGACCCATGACAGCATGCTATGATTGGCACCAGGACTTTCCGACTGTGGTGGGCGAACCTCGGGGGGCAAGGTTTGAAACGACTGCTAGTGACTAGCGACTAGCGCTTCCCTCCAAGCCTAACACTGATCAGTTTTTTTTCATGCAGGTTTCAAAGCACTTGGGGCATTGCTTGTACGACCGCATTGTGGAGACCACCTGTGCCAAAACGATCGACATGCTTTTGAATCATGAACATCCAGTGTCTGCTACTCTACCTCCTGAATACTTCTCTGCTCTGCATCCGTATAGGCGGCCACCCGCTCTGCCCAATTTTCAGCCGTATACCTCGTGTCTGCTCCCAGGCTGGTCATGCTGCTGGAATTCACAGGCTACATAAGCTCCACACGGCCGATATGTTGTGGAAAAAAATATGCGGCGCAGGGCAATCAGAGACAACCTCAATCAAAAGTACTGCGACAACTGTCTCAAACTGGCGATCTCTTGGATTTGGATGCTTTGATAAATTCGAGGCACGAGAGCAACTGGCAAATTAGGAGATTGAATTTGCCTTGTTTCCTGAGTGCAGCGATGTAGTATTGGCATGCACTCACATGAGGAAAGGTGGACTGAAACAGCAATGACCCTCCGCGTTTTCCCCGCTTGGTGAATTGGTTTCTTTTGGCTGGCGCCTTCAATGTAAACATGCCCACGTAAGGGTCACCTGTTGGTACGATTTCCAGATTCTGCTTGGTTGTTCATCTGACCAGCGCATCCAAACGTCGATGATCTTCAACAGCTCGTATGCCACTAAGGCGCCTGCGCCTGCACCAGGGGCCCGCACCCATCACATGTGCAGGACACCCAATCCCGATGCCGCATTCAGATCGTTTAGCGAAACTCTCGACACATATCGCAGTTGCCCGGTGGTCATGGAACCCCCGACGAACATCATTCTCTTGTGGCTTTTCTGAGAAGGTCCTCGTCGCTATAATAAGCTATCGAAGCCTCTCCACAACGAGCTCATCAACGAACTCATAACTCATGACATGCACAGGTTTGTTCAGCGTTGCCGCGTTATAACAAAGCACCACAACGGGCCCAACTAATGCAGTTGCAGAACATCAAAAGAAAAGTGTGAGAAAAATAAACTATAGTAGGAACAATAAGCTACTAGGAACAAGTGCATCGCTTCTAGTAACAAATGCCTTACTAGTGGTAGCAAGAAGCTATTAGAAACAATAATTAGTAATTAGATGTAATTAGAATCAAGGCTGCACAAGGCTCCAAAAGTCTGGAGGATTGGTCGTTCGAAAACTCACTTTGACTTAGGGCAGTGGACTCTCCAGGCACCTCCACGGCTTGAGCCAATGGAACTGTGTTGAGTTGTAACACCCAAGCTGTGCTTAATTGATCCTCTCTGTCTGGACGGCCTTGACCAAACCACACGGTGTTGACCCCATCCCCAAAGGCAAGCACCTGTCCAGGCTGAGGTCGTGAAGTGACTGCATTCAGTGCTAGGAATTTAGCACCTTATTGAGGACGTCTTCTATCATGATGCTGAAGTCCGACCATCCCTGCCAGCAAACCTGCGCACAGGTTCATGCGGATACGGTGTGCTTTGACGATCAAGCTTTCCTAATGAAGTGAGCACAAAGATTGGTGGCGTAAATGCCCATGTCCGTTTCCAAAGGTTCCGGCACCACCCAAACTCATCAAGAGTATCAAGTTCAACACCTGTCAGTTTTCTTAATGATCCGGCGACCACCGAGATCTACACAGTCTTCTGGCTCCAAATAGCTCCACAAGTCCTGACGGAAAGCAAGGCGAGTCTGCCTTTGGCAAAACCAGAGCCTTGGTGAAGACGAAACGACATGGCTCTCCTTGCTTCCAAGTGGCTACATCAAAAGACTGGTCTGTCCCGAATTCCGGGGCGAAAAGAAGAACGCGATGCTCAGGAGGAAAGATCGGTGGTACACACACCTGGGTGACGACCTCGATTGCAACACTTCTGGTCTGCCTTATGCTCATTATACTCCTTGCTTGGCTAAAGTCCAACCAAATTACAGTATCTGAAAGTGGCACGGACAGCCTTGCAGGCTGAGACACTGGACAATTTATCTCTCTTCGCAGGACCCTGAGAGGTTGCTACAGCTGTCACGGTGAAGGGCTCGGCGTGCATCAACTTGCCATGAAAACTGAACTCCGTCCTGGCTGGTGGCCGCAAGCCACCCACCCAGTGACCTTCGATCTGCATCATACGTTCGGAGGCTTCGCCTCAAACACACAAAGACTGCTGCCAACCAATAAATATATATATATAGTTTTTTATGTGTCAACAATATAACTACACAATTGAAGCGTGCACACTTCAGCTCGGTTGCGAAACGGATAAGGAAAGGCCTGCAATTGAACGCAAAGCTTCTTGGATACTCCAGTCACATAGTTACAGTTGACTACTTTAACAAGTGAAACATCAAAGTCTTGCATGGTCTCTTCCCGCAAGACTTTGAAAGCCCCGGGTCTGACAAGTTTGAAGCCAAGAAACTTCATCGACATGAATACAAAAGCACAAAAGTGAACAGGCGAAATGCAATACTACCAAGGCAGGCTGTGATGCAAAATGAGGTTGCTTCGCGCCTTATCCCGGTTGGTGGCCCACGGTCGAGATCGACAGAGTCGGTCCAAAGCATACCTCATGATATCAAAACACAAACGGGCCAGAGGAGGAACAAGAAAGAAAATGAAAACAGTGGAATCTCCAGCGCGCCATTCTCGCTCGTTCTCGTCTAGCCATCTGTCTGCAGTGAAGCGATCACTACACCATTGCCTGTCCAATGATGAACAACCGCAACGCTTCTCAAGCTCTTTCACGAGGCAGCCTCATCCTGTCAGAGGTCTCCCTGATGTTGTAGTCGCGCCTTGGTAGCGACGACAAACAACATGAGGATGCGATTGGAGTAGTATGAGTAGTATGCATTCTGCAGACACATAACGTTTGAGTCTAGGTACTGAATGAGGGCCTTGATTGCACGGACTTCATCAGGCTCGCCTTTGAAAGCAGGAAAGGAAATTGCTTTTGAACCCAAAACGTTGACGACTGACCTGAATTTTCAGATGTCTTTTCGTATCTCTTCTCTTTGTGTCTTTGCAGGGTCTTGTTCCCTCTCAATTCTTAGGGCACCTTCAGACGCCATTAGGCCAAAGCGCGGACAACAAAAGTTTGAGCTCGGCCAGGCGACAACTGCATTGAATCACTATAGATTGAGAGGGGATGATGACATGGCATGGCATGCAATATGTTGCAGCACAATCAACTTCTGAATACGACAACATTTACTGGAGTCCTCAATGTCAAGCTTCCACTTTTCCTTGTCCCACCCAGAGGTAGGATCTGCAGTGAGATGCCAAGGAGCACCCATCTGTCCAAATAGAAGCGCTATGCAAAGGATGACCTGGGCTCAGTGATGTCAAGCTTACACGGGCACCAGTGCTGGCCAAGCTGCGAGGAACACTCCATCCACGATCAAGCCTCATGGCTCAGAGGAGAAAACATCCGTGGTTCGTCCAGGGACTTGACATCTCCTTGGCATAGTGTCTTTCTCCACTAGCTCAGACTTGTGCGGAGCCAGTGCTGGGATTCAATAGCGCCCTCGCGAAGATCTTCAGAACAAGCCTCAATCCGAGGGCACTGTGTCACATCAGTGTACAGTATATTATAGTACTATACTTTACGGGACCTGGTCTTTCCACACACCAACATACCTTGCACATCCTCTGTGGGCCCAATGGGAGAAGTCATCCAGTTCACCACACGATGCCGTCGCTGCAGGCCTTGTAGAGACCCTGCCGCAAAACTCTGATTGTTTGAGCAAGCACACCTCTCCCACACATGGCGCATGCTCCTGCAAGAACTTGATCTTCACTGGCCAATTGTACGGGTTAAAGGGTGAATAGACCTGAGCCGCAGCTGCCAATTTCCTGGTATGCCAAAAGTTATATAGCTAGTTATACGGCTATACGGCTACACGTGTTTGTGTGCTTTCCCTCCTCGAAAGCTCACCTTTTTGTGGACCACTGCTTTCCAAAATCCACAACCCCAGCTAGCAGCTAGAGCTTGCAACTACAGGAGCTTGCAGAAAGTGTTGTCTTGCTAGTCTGCTTGCTCGCTCATACTTTGCTCCAGTGCCCCTTTCGTTTACACGATGTAATGTGGCTTCAGCTCTGTTCCCACATACCACTTGCATGATGGCTTGGCTCGTAAAAAGTGCAACCTTGAGTTTGCGGTCATGCCCCTCTCAATTCCCACAGACCCTATGCCCCATGGTCTTTCTCCATAAAGCAGTGGCATGTCACTTGCGCAACGTTTAGTGCACAGGAACAGTCCAAAGTGCTTCGCATACACAAGGCGGCTGATGGGGTTTGGCCATGGTTAAGTGGCTGCATTTCACGGCACGGCGAAAGCCACTAAATGCGGGCCCTGCCCGTCAACAATGCAAATCGCAAGCAAAACAGACTGCACAGAGTAAACATATACAGTATGATATATGAATGTGTGATTGCAAGGTGTGATCCAGCTTGTTGGCATGCTGTCACAACTTAGACTTTTTTGATATCACGTGGCGTGTCCCGCATGCGGCTGTTGCTCTGCCTTTTCATGTGCAGATGATGGGCACCTGTCTGGAAAGGTAGGTGGGGTAGGAGATGTCATATGCGCAAATATGCGCAAATCATCCATTGACAAAATGAGCATCTCTCTCTCTCTATGCATTGTTGTTGTGTTGGGGCGTTGCGGCCTTGCCGAGTGCTGTCGCGCATTCACTCAGGTTGGTTTTGTGTTGCTCTGACTCAAGCATCTACCTGTCACTAGGATTCGGGCATGCAGCTCGTAGGGGATCAGGAACAATGCAAACACCAGGCAAAGGATCGCAACCAAAGCCTGCAGCTCTGATCTCTCCGAAACCACTGATGAGGTGACTCCCAAGTGCATGGCACAAACACTACCAAACGAGATGATCTCCGACTCGTCCACTGCATCTGTCACCTGCACTTGAGACAAAGCAAGAAGAGCAGCTCAATACCATCCATGCTTCACCCACTTCATGCTAATACACTAAGTTCTTTGCCATCCACTTGGCCACTGACCAGGTTGATGTCTGATGAAGGCCTGAGCAAAATCCAAGCACAATATAGTCATGGGCAGAACAAAGTCTGAGCTCTGGTCTGAATGTAAATGTTGAGGCCGGGATTAACTAGAGCACTGCATGTTAAGTTCCAGGCACGGCATCAACTCTGGCAAAGATGCAGGAACCTTTGATTAGAAGAGTGAAGCAAGCAAGGCCACATGCATGGGACTGAAAGCATTTGGTGCCAGTATGGAAGCTCTCAGATGCATACCCAAAGTGCAACTCCGGCAAGCTGAAATACTGCAGCCCACACGACCTTCGCATGATTCCAAAGAGCAAAGGGGAAAGAAAATGTGCTGCAGTTGAGCGTTCGTGCCAAGACAGCTCTGCTCTGAAAGGAACACCCTGAAAACAGGCTGTGATCAATCACAGATCAGCATTGGCAACACCTATGTTTCCAAGGTCAAAGGCCCTCCAAAAGTTGAGGTGGCCAAAATTGTACCTGCAAGGGCTCAGGCTTTGAAATGATTCCGAGTCTGCTTGAGAGGACTCTTCAGCGCACCAGCCAGCATTTCGCATGAGAAATTCTGCAGTGTCACCTGCACCCGGCACAATGCTGTCAGCAGCAAAAGAAAGCTGAGAATCTGAGAGCCAAACATACACTTTGGCCAAACTCCTTGCAGCACATGATTTGGTTGAACGTGCCATTTTGTGTGCCTGCTCTGGTGTCCCTTTGTCTTCGCCTTCTGTTGCTCCTTTCTGTCACAGATTGTTTGTTATCCTTCTTTTCGTTATCTTTCCGTTTCTCTTGTTTCCAATATGTGGTACAATATGTATGTATATATGTATATACAAGTAAGAAGTCTGGAGCCCGTAGGTAAGATACTGTCTGCTTGCCAGGACCAGCACCAGTCCTGCTTGGCTCTGTTCACCGTCACTGTATGACCGTCCGGTGAAGCCTGTTTCCACATTAGAGTGCATGAAGCATCTGCAACTTCTCCAACCCTTTGCTTGCACAAAAGCCTTCAGCCACCGGCACAATCTACAGCTTGGGGTCACTCAACCAAAACTCAAACTAAGAAATGTAAGGGTTGCTCAGCAATGATCCAGAATCTAGGTGGAAGATGCACTGCATGCTTTGACAGACACCATGGCCGTCCTCCGTCTCGTTCAAAGGGTCAGTCTCGCCTGCTCCACCTCAAGTTGATCACAACAAACTCTGATGACACACTGAGTGTGCCCTGTGCACTATGCAGGCGCTATGCCGCTATGCCATGCATCAATGCCATCCATCAGCAAGCAGGTGGTGGGCCGAGGGCGTAGCTCGACTGCGGCCTTCAAGGGACAAGCGACAGTACCCTCCCAAAATCTCGCCAGGCCCACGGCATGTTGCCCAAGCCTCTGCAATTGGAACGCCTGAACTTACACCGAAAAGAAAGAAGTGAAGCTCGTGTGCCCACTGGGGTGGGAGGTGGCTGGCTTTGCTGAGGTTGACGCGAGGGCATTTGCCTGTGCTTTCAGTTGCCGCACCTGGCTAAGCCATTGCAAGTTTAAAGACTGCATATGCTGCCGTGGTTACCACCAGTAACTTCAACCCATTGCATTACCCTAGACCAAGGAGTTGTAGAGTTCCGCTGTTGGAAAGCCAGGTGAAACCCAAAGGATTGTTGATTCAACTTCGCTGGGTGCGATTCTCAGTCACATCCAGAGCACTTAACCTTGCTCCAGGCTGTCCAAGCCTTCTGACTCCAGATCCATGGCTTGCAAAGGCCTCAAGCACTGCAAAAGCATAGCTGCAAACTCCAAATGCCTCCCCTTCATCAGCATTCAATGCGAAGTATCCAAGTTCTTGGCGAAGAAGCGAGTCCTTGGCTCCACCATGCGAAGCCAATCACACTGCATAGCTTGCCCCGAATTGGGCATAGAACTTCCGAGGCCTAGAGGCCCTTGAGTACCCCATTCATAGACCCTACCCCAGGTCGACTATACCGACTATACCCCTATATGCTGGAGTTCTGTATGCACAATTGACACGAATTTCAACATCCACAGCTCCTAACTCTTGCTGAAGCTACCCTGGCTCAATACCATATTACGATATCGCCCTCTCACGCAAAGCCCCGCCCCAAGTTGTAGCCCTTCAAGTTATGCTCCACAAAAACACTCCAAAACCTACTCCTGTGGTTTCCAAACAGTCCGTGTAGAAACCAAAGGCATCCGGCTTGTTTAGCCTAAAATGTCTTGCATACAGTTTATCGAAATAAAGATTAATAAAAAACATCTACGTGCGACATGGGCTTCTCCCTGGGCGTCCCTGCAAAGCCGCATAAATTTTTCCCAGGGAAGTCTTGCACACTGCGAAGCTTGAAGAGCTCACCTGAGAACGTCTCTGCAAAATAGAAATTTATATGTTTTTGCCCGCTCCCCCTCCCTAAGTAAGGAACTGAGGTAGCTACTAGCTACTAAGACGCTACTACCTAGGACGCAGGATAGCTCACGCTTCTTCAAGGAGCGCTCGCACTGATGATTTGGTTCCTGGACTTTTAGGGAGACTTAACTCCTTCTTCTTCTTCTTCTTCTTCTTCTTCTTTGCACCAATTCTCACCCTTAGGGGGGATTTGTTCAAGCCGATTAGACAGAGTTGCAACTTTACTAAGGCCCCAACCAATGCCGAAAAGGACGGCTCCACACATGAACAGCCTCGACAGTTCATCTTCATCCAGTCTGCTTTAATTTAGATTCTTTCCAAAAACACTGCTCACATGATCTTGGGTCACAACAGCAGGTTGCGCATGCCAAAGAACTCCTGATCCACCCTGCCAGCACTGGCAACAAGCAACAAGGCAAACTGAGCCACACGAGCACAGGTAGGAATCTTCCAGGCCAGAGTGACACCAGTACATCATCCCGCTCCCTACAAAAAGCTTTGGCTCATCTTTGGAACGGCACCCACATTCACAGCCCACTAAGGCCCTCACATGGCAAGGCACCTTGGAGACACAGGCAAAATAACAGCACCATGCACCAAGGCTCGAAGACTGGAATCCTTCGAAAACCTTGCCTGCTCAAATCAGAATTCTTGTCGTCAAGCGCTCCTGCTTGCCTGACATTGACGCGAGGAGGAGATGCACTGTTCGCGCATTGGAATCTCAATGAATCACCCACGCTGTGTCAAACTCAAAGCCCATATCTTTGCCGTGATCTGCTTCTAATGTCCGGTGAAGGGATGCCAAGGTCTTTGGGCTTGGCATACGCAGATTGGTTCTGTGATCGCGTAGCAGTTTAGCAGTGTAGCACTGCTGCAGAGAGGTGATGGAGTGGCAAAAATCTGTTTGCAATGCGACGCGCATGGGGCATGAAGACACTCGCAGGGACATCCGGTGGTGAGGTGGCGGCACAGGTTGAGATGGACGGGGTGAACATGGGTATATAGAGCCTGATGATGAGCGACCGCTAGCAAAGTTAATGAGGTAATGGCATAGCATTCTGCACTGGGTGAACCGGACACGATGCTGCCTGCTGGGTGATGACATTGGTGAGGTGCTCTGGTCTCTTTTTTTTTTAACTATATATATATATAATATGTATAATGCGATGGTCAATGGTCTAGTGAACTTGGATAGATGCAGGTGGTAAGGTGGGTCGCACGCAGCAGGGTAGGCACAAAACGTCTGCCTTCTGCCCTGTGCTGGTTGAACAGCAGTGTGAGGTGTGGGCATTACAGTATAGCTTTCTCAGGCCCCCGCGCTAGAACTACTGTGCGGCTCTGGAGTTGTTCTCCAGATTGGACTGCCAAAGCCTGATGCGCAAGTACACACAGCTCATGCTGATGCATCCGGTTTGACTGAGCATTTTGCTTCGGAATCGCTCATGTGGCGGCTGAAGCTCATGAGAAGCAGCCTCACATTCAGCTCACTCACACAGAAGCAACTCTTTTTTGCTGGGCTGCCAACACAGCAGCCGCAAAGGAACCCAGCAAGCCATGCCACACCTTTGAGCAAAGAAACATTGTGGATTTAGAGCATCACATCATGGACACCACTTGGTCGCAAGCGGCAACAAACTGCTCCAGAGATCCATAGAAACCTTTTAAAGGCTGGTGATGGTGGTGAACACGCGTGTGCACACGCACAGAGACAAACAGACACTCACAACGCTCTCTAACAAACCTGATGCTTTCAAAAGTATATAACTATGGTAAGTTCCAACCTTCTCGTTCTGATTCGGGAACTGCTCCAGTGACCCTGAATATATATTAGAGTTCAAAATTGCTGGAAACACTCACTTCACTCAGCCAACGACACTCGTGGTAAGGCATGCCTCAGCAAACTTTTTGTCATGCGACATGACCAAGGCCAGTAGTGCAACATTGCCTTTGGAACTGAGTTTGGGACTTCCCCTCCTGCTTTGAGCTGCGCAAATGTGCCAAAAAACATTTACAAAAAAGAATACAGTATGCAGAATCACCGTAGAATCACCGAAATTCACCAGGGGAAAGAATGCGCACAAGCTATACTATAAACGCTTTTTGGGGCGAGCACAATTTCCCAACCTGCCGAAGCACGCGGAACAAAGGCCAGCGTGCACTCTGTACAAAGCGTGGCACAGTGTGGTGCAAAAGCCAGCTGCACGGCTTTGTCCCCTGTCTCCTCCCGCGAGAGAGGGACATCTTGGCAAATCTGGTGATCTGCGTCGCACTCCGTGCGCAACTTGAAGTGTCTTGTGTTGTGATGCCAATTACATGTTCATAATTCATAGTGGGATTTCGCTGATAGTGTCCAGCTGCGAAGTGTTACATTGAAGCATACAGACACGTTCCCTGTCAATGTCATGTATATAAGTCTAAGTCTGCTTATTGCTTCAGACCCACCACACGCAAACCACGAACCTGGCTGAAAAACCAGTCAACTTCATCAGCTGCAAATGACTGGTTTAAATACCCAGTTCTGATGGAGTTGACGGTCACAAAGGAGCAGAGGGGCTTCGAGGGTACTATATACAGGCCCGCCGTCACCCACCAAGCCGTCAAAGAAAGCATGAGCTGTCAAGAGTTCAAATCCAGAATCAAGTAGGATCAGCACATTTGTTCGATAGAATGCCTGAAATGTCAAGTAGGCTCAAGTTTTGCTCAGCACATGCCCACGAATTGGCGAGCAAATAACAACCCCCCCGCGCAAGTGCAGAACAAAGGAAAATGCGGCCTGCGCGAAGGTTCCACAGCCTCTGGCAGCGTTGCAACATTGTTGCATCTCTTGGCAGGCTCTATTGTGGTGAACTTTTTGAATAGGGGCGCCAAAGAAATGCATTAACACAAGTGTGCGTTCTGACTGCCCTAATTGCCTAGGTCCTTGACCCAACTGGCTTGACATATACAAACTAGTAACTAGTACAAATGCAGAAAAGCAACAAAATAGAAACGGACTACTATTAGATATACGGAGAGAGAGAGAGAGAGAGACCCCTTCAATGAAGCAGTACTAGCACACGAAAAAATGTCGGACGTCCATCACCCGGTCCCAGCGCGTGTTGTTCCACACATGGGATTCAAACCACAACCAGTCCGATCAGACAGAAGTGTGGGCTCGCAAACGCAAGCAATGTTGTGTCAGTGGCTTGTCCAGGAAAGTTTGTGTGGATGAATTTGTCCATCTCCATCTCCCTCTCTATCTCTCACTACCCCTCCCTCCTTCCCTGCCTGCATCCCTGCCTCCCTGCCTCCCCCGCCTGCCTCGGACTTGCTCAGGCTCAGGAACATTTCGCAGGCAATGCCATCCCTCAAACCATCTTCAATGGTCCCCGTCCCATTCACCAAACCTGAATTGCCTAGTGATACATCATTGTAACATGCCTTCGCCCGCGCAACACGTGCATTCACACAGCCAAAACCAACTGCCAGCCCAGCGAACCGGCAATGCAAAACAAAAGGGTTCTAGCGGAATGACAACCTTTCCCCGTGTGTAGCTCTGTGGTGCACCAAAGGTAGCTGAGCTCTCTTCCACGATTTCTTCCAAACCTCCACCAGGGGCTGTTGCGAAGACAAGGTGACAAAAAAGTTGAGTTGTCCCAGGTCCCTTCGACTGGTTATATAATTTGCCTGCTCTCTAACCACCACTGTCAATTCACGGACCGTTGGGGCTTGCTCACGAATCTCACACGCAAATGCCCTTTCAAACAAGTAGGTGCTCTGTTGAGAGAGTGAGCAGGAGGAACAATTGGCTGAGCAAAAGAGGGAAGTAACATATTGTGTGTGTGTGTCAAGGTTGTTGTCATATATTGATGGTATGCTTACGGTATGCTACAGCTGTGCAAATAAATCTGATGTATATATAAACGTTGCTGCTGCCTAGGCTGCAATGGAATGCTTAAGCTCTTCGCTGGACGAGCGAAAAGGATATGGAATTGTGGAAGCAAACTCTTGGCGCAGGAGCCGCTAAAACTAAAACAATTAAAAATATCAAACAGAAACCATCAAAATTGCGACAACCCAAAGCCGGAAACAAAGTGGGGAAAGGCCCAAAAGGGGACGGAGTAACACAACACGTCACACAGGCTTCAGCCTTTTCCATATCCTTTCCCCAAGCATCTCTGTGCTTTCCAGCAAACTCACATGAAGCAACTCCTGCATCTTCATTACCACGCCCCGCATCTGTCAAAGGCTGGAGTGTACACAAAGGTGCATCTTCCATCAGGCAGCGAAATCCAAACCCACTGACATGAGTGCAACAAACTAGCGACACGTCGGGAAGAAGACACCCCAATATATATATATATATATACTTTGTAGAAATCACTGTCCTGAAGCCGCCTGCACCTGGCAGAATTCGCCATCTCTTCACTTAGTGGATCTCATCCACCATGAAACTCCAACTGTTCTTTTGAGGCTCTTCTGATGCTGCAAGCTGGATTTGCTTTGATCTTGTGGTCGGGTATGGAACAACATGAACACACCAACAGCAAGAAACAAGTCTCTCGGGTTTTATCGATCGGAAACGTGCAACTCCAGCTGCAAGCGCTTCAACAAGGCCCGTGCTTGCATCTCTGTGCAGATTTATGGCATCGGCCCTAGTGGCTCTGGTGAGTGACCTGAATACCTGCAGTATTTGTCAAGCTGCTACCTGTAGGCACTAGGGCGCTGGCGATGCCAAAAATGTTGGGGTTGGTCACTGCAGTTGAATGTCAACTGTATGTCGACATGGCATGCCACAACAAAGCACCAGGAACCCCAGTAACACCAGCGCGATTCTCACGACACAAACGGCGAACTGTCCACAATTGAAGGAATGTTGAGACCAGAAAAAAAATCAACATGAATGTGAATTAGACTCTACTGTTTTCCTCCATGGCCACTTGCCCAATTTCACTTGAGCGGTGCGATTTGAAGCCTGCTGCTGACTCACGAAAGCGCCTGCAGGCATCAGGTGTCATGCCGAGCTTCATGTTGATGTCATCCCAGAGATGCGCAATCTCATCGTCACTCAAGAAACGTGTGCAGTGAAGCACCATATCAAGAACTCCAGCACGAGATGCCGCAAACCCAAACGTTGGTAGAATGCGTCGTTGCACTGTGAGGGCCAATTCTGCACGTCCCGTGAGATGATAATACCCATCGCATGCCTGTTCCACGTTTGCCTTTTTCTTCAGCTTCGCGACTGCATGCTGAAAGCTAGGAGTGCCTGCCCAAAGCTGCCAATGACCCACAAGCAGACTGCATACAATCAAACGCTTTGCTGAAAGCACACCTTTGGCAAAATGCTCAACAAATTCAAACAATGAAGAACAACTCCGATGCATTCGAGGTTCTAAAACCAGCCAGCTGCTTGCGCAACAGCTTTGCAACCTGCCAACTTGCGCAAAGAGATGACATCTCCGAACACAGACTTAAAACATCCCATGCCTATCAATCCCGTTGTGACAACATGTCGCGTTCTATGATCCATGTCGCGGCTGGAGGTGGCCGAGCAACGATGAATTTGGTTTTGGGCTTGACGCCGAGGACACCACTTATCGGAACCTGCCAGGGAGGTGCATTCGACCGACTGCCGAAAAGATTGCAAGAGGGCACATAACATAGATATACGATATACATATATATTTATTTATACACAGTACACATGCCAACAATCCAAAAGCTTTTTGAATCTGCAGGTCTGGACGGAACCTTCTTGCTCGACAATGCGCATGGTCCAGGGTTCTTCTCAAAGGTAAGCAGGGCTTCTTCAATTGCAAAGGCATTGACAAAAACATCTGGATCCTTGTCTAGGTCCAAGAAGTGAGCTTTGGACTGATCCACTTTAACCAACAGTTCGCGAACAAGCTCCACCTCCTTTATGTACATTATGCTTCATTTTTTGAGCCTCCAACCAAAATCTGCCTCCAAGCAACGTCTTGCAGCTTCTCAAGGGCATTGAACATGTCCTTCCGCACTTGACTTGCTTACTATTGAGCCTATTCTCAATATCTAGCCTTTTCAAATCTTTTCAACACACGTCCTCGACGCCTTGCTCAGAGATGTCAAAGCCATACCTTCAGCTTTGCGAGAGTATACGTGCACCAGTCAGCAAGTACAGGAGTAAGCTGGTTCTGAAATGACAGCTACGTAAACGCGATGATGCAATGAAGCGATGTTTATGACTCTAAGACTCTAAGGTCATCTTATAGGTCTGGCCTCGCAATTGTTTCCATGTTGTCATTGTCGAACAGCTTGTAGATCACATCCTTTGCACGTCCATTCTGGGAACATATTTTAGCAGCTCTTCCAATTGTAGGCGTATTTGTGGCTATCGTGTGCAAAAACATACGTCCTCAAACGTCAATGTCTTTGATTGCTTTCCAAGTAGCTTTGTGGTCTTTGAAGGTGTCGAGTGGCTGCCTCTGGCGGGACATCTCCCCAAGCTTTTTCTGAAAGCTTGGTGTTGACAGAATTGCCAGGAGCTCAGTCTGAAGAGCCAAAGCTCTTGGCTTCGACAGAGCCACTGGCTTAGCTGTGGCACCATCAGAATGAGCTTTGCTCGTTGTTTCTTCAGGTTTGGCATCTGCACTCTGTACTGGCCAATTCTTCAGCTTCAAGAATTCACCGATTTTCTGCACGCTGCTCATGCATTCCGGACAGCTCTTGAGGATCAATTCGAGCGGCTGGGTCAATGTTCCCATCCCATGCCCAGTGGCAAAGCCATACTGAGCGAGAATGTCGTTGTGGAACTTCTCAGCCCAAGCCCACCGGGAAGGCAATTCATCTGTGATAGGGGTTCCGTCCAACTCTTCCTTGGATAGAATATCCATGAGCTTCGTCTGGAACGTCTTGCCAGCATATGCACTCAGCAGCTCACGAACCAGTGCTTTAGCTCGTGCTTTTGTCATCGTCACACTCACCTCACGAATGCCCTCTGCTTCACGTTCATGAGGTAGCACGACAGTCGCCATGGCAACCGCGAATTGAAATATGTAGACGTTCCACTTTAAACTGAAACGTCACCTTGAGCACGGCCTGAGGGTGGAGTGACACATGCCATTTCGATGCCATCCGACAAAGCCCCACAAAGAGTGCAGGTGTCTGTTACCCAGGCAATTCTACTCAGTCCTTCTGAACAAAGTCCTTGGATGCAGTTCGCCCAAAGGTAGGCAAGAAGATCGGCGGGATGGCCTTCACATGGCTCTCTTCTATTATCTCACTTAAGTTTGACTATTTAAAGCTACCTCTTCTTACCCCTCCCCTTCTTAGTGGCCCACCCACCTAAAACAAGAGAGTCCGAATCTCGTCCAGCTTTCAACCATCAGGTCATAAGGATCAGACTCCCCAAGGCCCACGGGACATGTCTAAGCAGCACAGCTTGAACAGCACCACCTGAGCCAACGAAGCAAAAACTGAAAGAATAGGAAGGAAAAACCTAAGGTGACGACAATGGTAAGGGCGCACCACAGAGCAAGCCTGTGCCCAGCTGAGCATTCTCAAAGATTGCCGAGCCAACAAACCTCCCTGCTCACGCCTGGGATAGGGAAGAATCTCCTCAGTGCACTTCATCGGGCAACATGCCAAAACAAAGCAGGGACGCATCCAAAAAGCACAGACCAGAAATCTTAAAGCAAACAGGACAGGACACGACACAATGTAAAGAAAGTAGACTAACTGCACACCTACCAGTCCTTTGCGACTAATTGCGGTGATTGACTCAAGAAACTGTCCAGTTTGGACATGCAGAATTGCCGAAGTGGCAAGACTGCGTGACTGCACATTGCGTTTCAGAACGGCAATGAGGGTCAACCCGTTCTGGGCCTCGCCAAATTCTTTTGAAGTTCTTTTGGAGTTGGTTCTTATAGGACCGAGTGTGCCCTCATCATCACCAGCCCATGAACAACAAACGATTCAAGGAAAATTGTTCGATGTTGCGACTACAAAAGTGCGCAAAAACAACAGCGAAAGCGATGTTTCAACCCACAATTGCCCGATGTGTCATTCACATCCAAGCGTGCAAGAGCGAAAGCAGTGCGATTGGAACGTTCACATTGGTTGTTTTCATTTTTGTTTCCGTGCCACTCTACACGATCCATAGCACAGTTGCCCCCATTGCCACGCTGCATGCCAGTCGCGGCGTGGTGGCAGGTGACGAGGCATGGCATTGCACGCGCACACGGTCCGTGCCCGGTCGAAAGGGGCATCGCCTGGCGGAGCTTGCCTGCAACGTGCATGGTCTGGCTGCCGCCGCCCGGTCCTACTCACGACTTGGCGGGTGAACAATCACAACGGCCAGGCTACTAGTAGCTTCTAGCTATTAGTAGTAGTGCCCTTAGCTACTTAGCTACTAGTAGCGTCCTTGCTACTAGTAGCCATGCACATTTCTAAATCCACCTACCTTTTGTGCGGTCGTCTTTGTGATTCTGAGCGTCAAGGTGTGGGGGTGGGGGTTGCACGGGGTGGGTTTTTGTGGTGATCGGTTTGGATGTGGTTTTGCGAGTCTGGGAAGGATTGTGGTGGTGGTGGTGGGGGTGGTGGGGGTGGCGGTGGCGGTGGCGGTGGCGCTCCTGCTGCTGCTGCTGCTGCAGGTAAATAAACAACAACATAAACAACATACAACAACCACAACCACAACCACAACCACAGCCACAACCCCACCACCACCACCGCCACCACCACCACCACCACCACCTGTGAGAGTTCGTGCTTTCTACCATGTACATGACAAACAGCAGTGCATGGAGTCCAGGGATCATGTCTCAGGGTTTGCTCTAGCCTGTGGTCACCTGACCATTTTTTGAGAATGGTTTTTGACAGGTGCATTCGCGGTTAGGAGGTTCGAGGTTTGTTGAAGGTTCACGTCACGTTACTTTGTTGTTTTGGGACGTTCAGTGTTGGAGTAGAAACTTCATACCACCACCACCTCCACCACCACCACCACCTATGAAGATTAGCTTCAAGTGCGAAACTCGTGAACACTCCAAGAAACAAAAAACACCCGAACAAGTTCAACTCTCGCGTCCCTTCGACCGCGAACAGTCAAGTCGCCCACGCCCTTCCCGATCTCGTGACGCTCCTTTTCTACTGACTTGACCACAACGTGAATCGCTAAGGTGCCCACGCTGAAGCCTTGAGCCACGGTTTGTGGCGATTGGTACACTCTCGATTTGTCGCTCTGGGCGCGACATGCATTGTGGCGGCCAAAAACAAGCGAATGCTTGCGACCTCAACGAACATGCATACTGCAGTACGCTTCTTGATTTGTACGTGTATGCAAACATGAAGACAACTGTGTTTGACATGAAAGGCATGGCATGGCATCGAACGAGGTGTCGAACTTTCACAACAACACCACCACCACCACCACCACAGCAACAGCAACAGCAACAGCAACTGCAACAGCAACAGCAACAACAACAGCAACAACAACAACAACAACCACCACCACCACCGCCGCCACACCCACCACCGCAACCGCCACAACTACAATCACAGCACCCACCCCTGCAGCCTGCCCTACGACCACCTCTCCTCTATCTCCCATTCCCTCCTTCCCGTCTTCCTTCCCCCTTCCCCTTCCCCAGGTGTGGGCCCCTGGCCGGCTTTCGGGCATATGCCCTTAAATAGTTGCGAGAGCGCCCTCGATCAAACCCAGCCTTAACTCCTACAGTAAAAAGCCCTGGTGTGACCAAACAGTCTGGGGGAGAAAAACACGCATGTGCATGTCTGCCGTGTCTGCCTCGATGTCAAGCAAATGCAGCATGCACATCTCGGTCTTCAAAGATCACGCAAACTGTCCACCGTTCCCTGTGCATGCGGCACGCAGTTATGAAAAGCGCAAAGCCTATTTTTGAAGCCAAGGCTCCCATCTGCACTCCGAAATTTCCGAATCATCTGAGCACCTAAAAGAAGGCGGGGCCTCTCCAACTAACTTCTATTTGGAGTGAACAAAGCTAAGGAGTCCCGCTCTGATGACAGCAAGCCTCTCAACCTGGTACCTTGGAAAACGCAACGAAGCTTCAGCCTGAATCAGTGACGCAGTGGAGCGATGAGCTCGGCACGCTCGAAAAGCGGCGTCAGCACCAGCCTTTCAGAGTAAAAGTAGTGTAAACATATGCGATAAACGCACAGCTATCTGGGAGGCTCACACTAGCACCACGAGCCAAAAAACAAGGGCCCCAGTTCGCTTGGAAGCCTGCTCCTCATCAGCACAAAAGCAGGATAAAATGAGTATGAGGTCATTATGAGGTGGCTCGTTCCCAGCCATGCTGCTCTACATTCATGCTGTAGACGTTCCACTTGAGGCAGGAACCAGTCTGCGCTTTTTGCGCTCCATTTGCCATGCCTGCAGCAGGCGTTGTCTGTCAGAGCATTATACAATTAGCATTTCAGCTCAGTGCCTTGAGCCCACCTTTGGACTCCAACTCGGCGAGAACCTGTCAACTTCTATCTTTGTTACTAGTGGCGATGCCCTGGTTACTAGTAGCTTCTAGCTACAAACCAAGCCCACAATCAACTTTCAGGGATGCACCTGCTTCACAGTGGGCCGTCCATCTAGATCCATGTCCACTGGCACGACAATATCATACCATCTCCTGATTAGCAAACACTGGTGAACGTAGAGCTGACCGGATCGACACAGAGCCCAAATTCATGCAACCAATGTTCTGCTCATGTTCCCCATAATTGTTGGGTTGTTTGAGGGCGGCAGTGGCGGTAGCACCAGGTCGAAACAGCCCCTCTCTTGAACAATATGGTATCTTTGTACAAGGGGTGTTTGGTTTGAACACGTTATATAGTGGCAAAATGCTGAATGGGCACAAGTGGTGTCTGCGTCGAAGATATAGTAGCAACAGCCCCCCAAAAGAGCATGGAGTGTGCCACTGCACACCCAGAATGGCAACGTTCTTAGTCACCCCAGCCCAGGTTAGGTTAGCAATGCTTTTTGGCACTTTTCTTGAAGCTACCTCAAGCCACCAAAAGTTACATTGAATACCCCGGGCAACACCGGAGGATATGTTAGTTGGGGTCCTCAGTGCTGATGGGGTTAGGCTATTTTTGAAGAGAGTAATCAGTTGTTTATCTATGTTCCGTACTGACATGCAAAGTTCTTTGCTGCACCAGCTCTTCTCCTCGGAAACTTTTCCTGGAGTGATGTTGACGTAGCAGTTGCTGCCTCTTGACCTTCACGCTTCGCTTTGGTGACCTTTTGCCTTTCGCTGTTCAAGGTCGCGCCTTGCTCTCTTCCTTCGCTCTCGTCCCCCTTCAGCTTCAACCTACCTCATTTGAAGCTTGTCGGCCCGGGCAAATTACATGAGATAACAATCCCTTGGATCCATGCGAGCACGTATGACTGCGACCTGGGGGCAAGAATTGATTTTCTGGAGCAGACCGTGAGCTGACATGTAAGGTGCTGGCTCTGTACTTTTGGACCTTGGGATGTTGAGCCACTTCTTCTGGTACAAAAACGATGGGTCGAACACACAAGCACAAAAGACACATGCGCCCGTATGAACGCAAAAGTGCAGCAAGAAGCAAACCAAGCATCAGTGAGACGAAGCGAAAAAGAACCACGGTTAAATTTTTTGTTTTGTTGTACAAGAGCTCACGTTTATGCATCACAAGTCTGATGTGTTTTGCAAATGCGGCTCTCGGATGTCATTGTGGCTCACTTTGTGCAAGGCACAAGTTCATCTGGAATGTCATCGTTTCTGGTCTCTTCAAGCCGTTGCCTCGCATTATGTTGAGTCTATTCTGCTGCTTGGAAAGGGTTGGCCGAGCTGATCGCAGGATTTCTTCGAGCTCAGCCTTGGCACTTAGGACCCATAGGCCCATAGGCACGGAGGGCGAAACGTAGTATAGGGCTGCTGCGATGACTTGCTGGACTTCCTTCTTGGGCTGTGGCCTTCAATGGTGCAAGCGAGACAAAAATGAACCAAAATCCAAACCACTCAAGTAAAGAAATGTTTGCTGGAAGGGTGACAAAGCCTCGAGGATAGCACCTAGCGATCAAAGGGATCGCAACATGATATGTCTGGAGTTCCTCTCAGGCTCGCAAGCTCAGTCAACGACTGGAGCGCAACCTCGCCTGTCGTCCTTGGACTCTGTCGGATTGGCCTGGCTGAGCCCCTGATACCCGGCACGCCCGACATCCCACCTCACATCATGCAGAAGTGCTGAAGGAAATAAAGTGCGGCAAGTTGGCCGTCAAGGTCGTGAGGGCTCCACCTGGTTTTCGGTCTGAAAAGCTGCGTGCATGTTCCAAAACTGGGGCGCCTGTGTTTGAATCTGTCATCTGTGAAGCCGCGCACCGCAAACCTGGACATCATGTTGATGCAAAGACGATAAATCAACATGAGACCAAATAAAGAGCCACATCCACATCAGTTGTTTCATCGACCAAAAGTGAAGCGTTTCATTTGTGTTGCCGCTCACTGTCAGCAACAAGGCCTTTCGCTCTTAGATGACACGAGTCACGACCCCCAAAAAAACTGTGGTGTCAAACTGTTGTTCTATAGGGTTTGGAACCTTCACACACCCAGGCGCTCAAGGATACTAGTCTAATAGGCCGCCTTTCCGGTGGTGTCGGTGGTTTTTGATTCGCCTACGATACTGCAATCCATATAAAATATATATATATATATGTAAGTGTATAATTGCATGCTTTTGACTGACCAGTCTACATCCGCAAAAAGAAATGCGCTGTATACATAAAGCACTACATCCTTTCATTCTTCATGAATTTTGTTTTAGGCTCAATCAGGTTTTGCTAAGGAATCCTGTTGAGCAGGGGCCCTAATGTTGCCCTCTCGTTTTTTTGTATAAGTGCAATCTACAAGTTGTTAAGCCCAAACCAAATGGCCCACCTCATGCAGCGCTTGGCCCGGCAAAAATTTTTCGGCATACATGTCAACCAAGGCACCGTAGATGCTCTTCAGCCACTCCATCGCAAAGGACAACAGGAACCGAGAATGGCAGCAGGAAGCGAAAAATTAAAGAAAAATCGAACAATTCACTGCACTCCCATCAAACTGTTGCTGCACGGAAGTGCTAAACCTTTCTTTTGAGCATGGCCGAAAACACTCGAAAACAATGCTTGTCATTCCGGTGAGTTGTTCAAATTGTGAAACAGTCATTCTGGTGGCGTGAAGCCACGCTGCTTCAGGATCGTCTCTGCCACTGCAATATCTTCGGGCGTTGTCACTTTGATGTTTGTATACTCTCCTTCAGTCAACTTCACCTGTTCGCCAAGGAGCTCGATCAACGAGACATCATCTGTCACTTCAGATCCATCTTGTTGTGCCTTTTCAAAGCCTTTTCGAAGCAGCTCACTGCGGATGACCTGTGGAGTATGTGCTTCCCACAACAGTTTCCTCGTGGGAGTGCTGGCTACAAATGCCTCATCAGCACCCATCGCCTGTTTGATCGTGGCCTTCGTTGGAACTGCCAATAGTGCTGCACCATATTCTCGAGCATCTGAAACAACTTTCTCAAATTCTGCTTGTGTAACCAATGGCCGTGCGGCATCATGAATTGCAACTATGGGAACTGTGATCTTGTCTAAACCATTCTTCACCGAATCTTGGCGTTCCTTTCCTCCGCATGTAAATTTGAGCTCACAATTCGGAGGCCCGTGTTTTTCCAAATGATCTTTAAAAATATGTTGCCATTCTTCTGCACAAACTATCACAATCTCGGCAACATCGCACTCTAAAAAGGTGCTCAAGGAGTGCAACGCAATTTCCAATCCCAACAGTTTGATATACTGTTTTGGAATGCTGGCACCCATCCGCTTCCCAACACCAGCTGAAAGCAAAACAACACCAACATCACTTCCACTCGCTGCGCACAGAATTCGACTGTTGCCGCGGAGGGTTCGAAAGCTGTAGCCCCGCCTTGCGGGCCCAATCAAGGCAGCTGCAAGGGCACAACTTCCGGCCACAGCAACCAACGCCGGTTTGGTCCTGCCTGTTCTTGTCAGGCTGTCAACGTTTCCATTCGTGAGAAGGCGCGGCGCACCAAGAAACCGGTTTTGGGGGCAATTCACGGGCTCGATGAAATTCGTTGGCGCTTGCCGAAACCAACTGCAAAACAGTGTCACGGCAACATAAAACACCAAAAGGCATAGAAATCGAGCCTGACAAACCATGAAGTTGGCGTGATTGCACAGCGAAAGCTGCAACCAAGAATGGTTGTCTTGAAACAAAACGGCAAATGGTGAAGCACTATTGTTGCCGGCTCGGCACGCCCTACATCAAAGAGTCACCCTATCCCTGCACGAATATGCTAATTTCAAAAACGAGAGGGAGAGGGAGGGAGAGGAAAGGAGAGGGAGGGAGAAGGGGGGAAAGGGAGGGACACGTCCGGCCTGGAACCCTGGGATGGCCCTCCATCGACACACAGGGAAAAAACAAAGCGACACAAATGATATCCTGCTAAAAGTAGCCGCAAAATTGTTGCATGCAGCAAAGAAATGAAACGATTGACAAGTTCAGGGTGGTTTTTTTCCCCCTTTTTTCCGCGCTGGGGCGAAGGAGGAATGTTTTGTTTCGGTGCCGATTGTCAATTACACAAAATTGTGGGTTGGCAGTTTTTTGGCGGTGGCTTCGATCTGACGTCCACACTGGTATGAACAGCGCGGAAATACAAAGTGTGGGTTGTCACTCTTGCCCCTGCTTCGTGGCTCGGGCCGCAACCCTCTTAAGGGGCCTTGGCTTCGAAGAGCTCCAAGCTGAGCAGAGGCAGCAGGCACACAATGGAAAGGGAACACGAAGCCGGCAGAGCAGCACGCACACACACATATACACGCACATATACACATACAGTCATACACATACACATCATCGATGCCAAGCCTCCTGCTCCAGCCCTGAGCATCCCTGTCCCTCCCGCACACGTCGTTATTTTTCCGAACTCTGTGGCCTGGCTCTGTGGCCGGCTCTGTGTCTGGGCTTTGTCCTCCTCTTGTCCTTCTCTTGTCCTCTCGCTCACCAACCCTGGGCACACTGACTGGCCGCCTGGCCGCGCCCCTGAACTCTGTGACCGGGTCTTGTCCTCCTCTTGTCTTCCCTCGTGGCCGAACAATTAGCGATGTCGATGCCGACAAAGATCATTGATAAGGCAATGGGCTAGGTAGGGAATTTTTTGACAAATATTGGTCCCAATGACTCGTTTGAAACTGTTTGGGGTCTATGCTGGTATAATTGGATTTTCATGTAGATGTTATTGTTGTTTTGCACCTATGTTCGCGACGCCGCACGCATACAATTTCTGTAGTTTCGCTCTCGCCGTTTCTTTCCCTGCACGGAACAAGGAAAACAAAAATCTGCCTGTGTGAAAGGCGTTAGGACGGCACGGCTTTTGATGTGGGCGAGCGGACGTATGAAGGTGGCCGTTTCTTCGCCCCATAGACGATGAAGCAGCGCCCCCGGCCTTTCGATTTGAAAGGGGAAGACACGAAAGGTTGTAAAACAAGAAGGTACAAACCAGGACAAAAAGAAGTTAGGCCTGGCTTTGTTGAAGTCAGAATGGTCTACAATTTACACCACTAAATTATCCTCAGCATAGACCCGGACAGTTTCAAAACGATTCCTTTGGACCAATGTTAGTCAAAAACGATTTCTTGCTACACCCTACCTTTCCCCCCAAGAATTTGTTCGGCCACCTAGCTGTTGAGCATGTTCATGAAAAATTGAGAATGTCCAATGCGTCTCACAGGCACATTATCGGGCGCCCCATATATCAGCATGAGACTGGCTCCTGCGCAAACCCGCTTCTTTCGCGGGCGTCCGATTAGCAGCAGGACAAACAAGACGACAGGGGCGCGGGCAAGACAAGGATAAGAGGAGGACAAGGCCCGGACACAGAGCTGGGCCACAGAGCCAAGCCACAGAGTTCATTTAGGGGCATGAGTGTGACCAGCTCTTTTTTCTTCTACAACAGAACCCCAACAGTGAACTGTTTTGTGAAAAATGATTCTACCAGCATAGAGCCCAAACAGTTTCAAACGAGTCATTGGGACCAACATCAGTCAAAAACGATTTCTTGGCATGCCCTACCTAGCCCATTGCCTTATCAATGATCTTTGTCGGCATCGACATCGCCAATTGTTCAGCCACGAGAGAAGACAAGGGAAGAGCAGGACAAGAGAAGAGAAGACAAGAGGAGGACAAGACCCGGTCACAGAGCCCGACCACAGGGTTCAGGGGCGCGGCCAGTCAGTGTGCCCAGAGTTGGTGAGCGAGAGGACAAGAGAAGGACAACAGCAGGACAAGAGAAGGACAACAGGAGGACAAAAGCCGGCCACAGAGCCAGGCCACAGAGTTCGGGGGCGCGGCCAAGACAAGAACAACAGGACAGCCACAGAGCCGGCCAGTGAGTGTGGCCAGCTCTTCTTTAAGATAGAACCCCAACAGTAAACTGGTGGGGGGAATAGAAATTTACCAGCATAGACCCCAAACAAAACGAGTCATTGGGACCAATATTGGTCAAAAACGGTTTCTTGGTATGCCCTACCTGGCCCATTGCCTTATCAATGATCTTGTCGGCATCGACATCGCTTTTTGTTTGGCCACGAGGGAAGACAAGAGAAGCGCAGGACAAGAAAAGACAAGAGGAGGACAAGAGGAGGACAACAGCAGGACAAGAGAAGGACAACAGGAGGACAAAACCCGGACACAGAGCCGGCCACAGAGCCAGGCCACAGAGTTCAGGGGCGCGGCCAAAACAAGGACAACAGGAGGACAAGACCCGGACACAGAGCCGGGCCCAGCCACAGGTTCAGGGGCGTGGCCAGTGAGCGTGGCCAGCTCATTTCTTCTAAGATAGAACCCGAACAGTAAACTGCTTAGGGAAAGATGTTCGTCAGGGCCCCTTCCAACTTGCACATTTTAAAAATAGAAATCGTCCCCATTGCGAAGTCTGCTGCATTTGTTATATAACATGTTCAAAGCGCTCGTGCTGAGAGGAGCGAAAAGCACGGTGTCGGGTGACGGCCCCTCGCACAGACACCACACTCGCAAGAGCCACAGTTTGGCAACTCCCGTGAGAATAGCCCCTCACGTTGCTGAGAGCTAGACCTCGACTTTCAGAACGGAAATGTGCTTCGTTTTGAACAAAGACGCATTAGCATTTTAGAGCGATAATGAAGGTGACAGCTATTTTAAAAAGGGCGCAGGCAAGTCAGCAAGCGTCTTTTTTTGATGTCAGCACAACCTGAAGAGCCTCTTTGTTAGATGATGCCCTCTCTTCAGGTGTGGGGCACCCCCTGCATGAACAAGCTATATTACACTAAAATGAACTCATTGAAGATTGATTCATGTGGCCAAACTCCTTGGGAACAGGAGGCGGCACTCCCTTCATGCTATTTTCCGCGACGCGCTAAGCGTGGACACTCTCGGGGCGGGTGTCCTTTGTGGACAGGACTAAACGGGGAAGCGCTCTCTCCACCGCGGCAAGCGCGTACTTCTTGATGAGGAGGCCTGAGACGCGCGCAGTCGCAGGGACCCCGCTGACACGTAGTCCCGAATCTTCCAGCTAGCAGTGGGTGGAATGTAAGCGACGGTGCGGTTGTCCAGGTTGACATCGAAACCCAGAAGGCGCATACCATCGAATGGTTCCAGTTTTGATGGGATCTCCGAAGAAATCAGGGCGAATGAGTGTTTGGATGCCGGGGTGTGTGTGAGAGAGAGAGAGAGAGAGCGAGGAGAAAAAAGAAATAGAAAGGTTTCGTTGAAGGTAATTACTACGCAAAGTGGTTTTGAGTGTGGTCTGTGAGGCTGTGATGTAGCTGGGCCCAAGAGTGTTCAATGAGGGTAAGGGCGACATTGCACCGTGCGGGCGACGGCCTAATAGGGCCTAAAGCTAAGGCACTACATGGCAAGTGGCACTGGCCCGTCGCGAGGTGTGCTGCAGCTGACTGCTTTTATACTGGCCAATCTCCAGATGTGCAAAATCAACTGTTATGGGGATAGGCGGCTGGAGGTGGGGGGTTGTCAGCGGGGATTGCGCGAGAAGTTGGCTGATGGAGGGAAGGTTGTTGCAAACGTTGCGCTGGAGGGACAATTTTTCAGTGAGGAGGGTGGCTGCAAAAGTCTGGCTGGCGGCGTGGCTTAGGAGGGCTGATGACCTGGAGACCAAGGCGGTTTGGATGGTTGGTTGCAGGATGGCGGGGGTTTGCCGGGCTTTGGAGTTGGCCGCTTCTTGGCTCCACCTGGCCCCGACTTCGATGGCGAGCACGACGAGCGGGTCGCCAGAAGTTCTGGATATGTTCGTTCTTTGCTCCGTCGTGCTGCGTGCAGGGCTGCCCCCCGGAAACCGGGTAGGTGCCTGCATGTGCGCGGGGCCGTCCCCAGTCAGGGAGGACACCAAAGTTGGAGGCCGCCCCTGAAGGGTGTCCTAATTTTTGCGTGGCAGGAGGGGGGCGCCCACGCAACCTCTATCCCCGGCCGGGGCCCCGGGGGGGGCGGGCTCGACACCTTCTTACAACCCCTCGTAGCACGGAGTCCTTCTCAAATGCCCCGTAAAGCAAGAACCGTAGCGGTTAGTGTCCCCCCCAACCCCACCCGCGCCACGAAATCTGCACCTCATCTCATTCCCTGCGCCTGCCACTCTTTTGCTTTGCACTTGAAATCTGCACTGCGTACGTGACCGCCACACAAGCCGTGGTCCGACAAGCTCGGTACGTAATTACGTAGCAGAATAGGGATGGCCACGACTACTACGACTTCCTCGTAGCACAGGATCCGTCTTTAAGGCCCTCGTAGCACAGGATCCTTCTTTGAGGCCCGCAAGAAGGGTTCGAGGAGGGGGGGGTGGCCACGACGACGACGACGACTACTACTACTACTACGACTACCACTACTACTACTACTACTACTACTACTACTACTACTACTACTACTACTACTACTAACTACTAACTACTACCTACTACCTACTACCTACTACCTACTACCTACTACTTACTACCTACTACCTACTACCTACTACTTACTACCTACTACTACCTACTATTACCTACTATACTACCTACTACTACCTACTACTACCTACTACTACCTACTACTACCTACTACTACCTACTACTACCTCTACCTACTACTACCTAACTACCTCCTACTACTACTACCACTACCACTACTACTACTACTACTACTACTACTACTACAACTACATACTACTACATACTACTACATACTAC